CCGTCCATCCGTCTCACCCTCGCTGTGTTGCTTTCGACGAAGCCAACACTTGTGGCAGGTGGGGTGCGACTGTTGGAGTGGGGTCCGCCAGTGCGTGCCTTTTGCCGGAGCGTCGGACACATGCAGGCGAAGCTCTTCACGGCAGCAATGTGCGAGACGGCCCTCACAGCTCTCGCCGCCGGTGCGCTTGGCGCCGTTGGATTGCTTTGCGCCGTTGCGGACGTTGTGATGGTCACGGCGCTGGGCAACGACAAACGTGCCGTTGTGTCCCGCGAGGAGGCGGCGGCGGAGGTGACCATCGTGGAGGCCGTTGGTGTCTTGTCTTCATACGCGCAGTGGGCACTGGCAGCGGCACCGGCACTTGGCACCATCACAGCACACGTGGGGCCCGTGCGCAAGGGAAAGAAGGAGGCCGCTGTACGTGACCGCGTCGCTCACAGCATCCTCCTCTCACGCAGCGTGCAGATTGAGCCGCTGTTGCTGCTGGAGCGGCGGCATGCAAGTTAACTTTTTGGCCGTCGCGAGTACGAGGGTCAAGACGAGGCGCATGAACGAAGTGCAGTGAGAGAGAGAGAGAGAGAGAGGGCCCGAGAGGAATAAAGGAGGTGTGGGAGGGGTGGAGACAGATGAGGAGTAGAAAAAAAAGAAAAAGCTACTTCTGAGGTGATCGAATAAAATATTAAGAATGCATTTTGTGTGGGAGGGGAGGGCGGGGGTGAACCCCTTCCCCGGCAAATTGTGTAACGCGGAAGAAAATAAACTGCTTATCTTTCCCGGTGTTGCTTCTGCGCATCTCCGCGAGGAGCACCACCCATCGTGACGCAGCGTCACACACACACACACACACACACACATTTTCATACATGTATACATGCATATATGTGTGTATACATGTGTGGTTCGCAGACTTTTTTATTTATGGTTCATTATTTATACCTCTTTTCTGCTGGTGCTGTTGCTTCTTTTGATTTCCATGTGGCTGAGCCAATCTTGCGAAGGGAAGTAAAGAACTCGAGTGGGGAGCCGAGGGCTGCTCGTGTGTTTCTCTGTGCCTGTGCCTTGTAAGAGAGAAAAAGGAAGGAAAAATAAAACAGAAGGGAGAGTGGGGCGGTGGTAGGAACACGCACGGATGGCCCCCACGGAGAACACGGCGATTCAAGTGAATCCGCCGCAAGGGTTTTATGTCAATTTCGATGTTGACACGACGTACGTCATTCCCTTCACTGTGCGAAATGACGCACACTCCATGTGCACTGTGCGCTTTACGCCTCCCAGGAACCAGCACGTTTTTCGTATTAATACCGCCTCGGTGCGTCTGGCCCCAAGACTTTCATACGTGATTGAGGTGGAATTCATCACGCACGTGGCGCAGGACTACCAGGACAGCTTTGTTGTATTCACCAACACAGAATCTATCACGGTGCCGCTTGTGGCGAAGTGCAGCCCGGATCTTGAGTTTCCCACGAAGTTAAACTTTGGACGGGTTGAGCGAGACTGTCGTGGTTTGTCGAAGGTGCTGCGCTTCACAAACAAGGGCCGGCGTGACAAGCACGTGCACATAAAAATTGGAAAACAAAGTACAGGAGTAAAGGTGAGACCACTGAACTGCGTTGCTCCGCCAATGGGCTTTGTGGACGTGTGCGTTGAGCTCCTGAAGCTAGATTTCGGTCACCACCAGCTGCCGCTTCATATCGACGTGGATGGCGAGGCGAAGCAGCGGACACTGCTGTTGGAGGTGGATGTGATGGACAGCAAAGGCGTCCTTATTGACCCGTGCAGCGGTGAGGAGGTACACGCACTGGCGTTTGCCAAGACGTACTTGGGCACGAGAAGCGTGGTGGAGCTTGATGTGCGCAACGACAGCGAGCAGCCGGTGAGTTTCGCGTTTCAGGCCGCAGCGGACATCTCGGCTGAGCAGCAAAACCCGCAGCCGTTTGACTTTGTGCCGCGACAAGGCCGAATTGGTCCGCACGAGACGACACGTGTGACCGCTGTCTTTGCACCGCCCATGGCATATTCCCCACAGGGTTGGTCGTGCCGCCGCGAGAATCCACGTGTCTTAAATAACATGTACGAGTGTCTTTACTCGCTGCTTTTCCTGGAGATGGAACACACACACACGGTACGTGTGACTGGGACCAGCACAACGACTGCCGCGTGGTTGTCGCAGCCTGTTGTGGACTTTAGCCAGTGCGCCATGAACGATACCCGCGATGTGACGTTGACGGTGCACAATGGGCATAGTGAGATGCCGCTGCATTTTGCGTTTCCTCGCGTCGCCCACTTCTCCATTGACCCTGCCGACGGGAAAGTGAAGCCCCGCTGTTCACGCGCCGTTCGATTGACTTTTTGTCCACGTCGTCTAGGTAAATTTGAGGAGCATTTGAAGGTTGTCTTCAATGAGACGGAAGAGCACAGCCTGACTTTCTTGGGCGTTGCGAAATCACTCGTTCCGCCGCGGAAGATTGTCGGTGGGGCCGACAAACTGCCGGAGGATTTTGTCTGCGCGCGGAAGAGCGTCACTTTGGTGAAGGAACCGCCATGTGCCATTTTAATTCCCGCGGCGGAGACGAAGTTGGATGCCGTTGACATTGGTATGACGCCAGCGGAGGGCCTGCAGCCACCCGAGCCGGAGATTCCCGCTGCCATCGGCAAGAAAAAGGACAGGGGGGAAATTTCACTGCTGCGCGAGGCCGACCACTTCTCACCCGTCTTGCTGGACGCAAAGACGCTCATCCGAAAGGTGTTCAAGGAGACCCCGAGCAACGCGGTGGAGCGGCGGGATTGCCGGCGTGAGTTGCAGCCGATGGAGCTCCTGCGCATCGCGGCACCCATCAAAGTGATTGACTACAAGCGGGTGACCGTCGGTTCCACCTCAACCAAAACGTTTTTCTTGTACAACGGGACCTCCGCCACGGTGCTGGCGGAGATGCCGACGGAGGAGGCCCAATTGTCTTTTTCTCCACACTCGCAGGTCATTCCGGCTGGTCGCGCGGCCGCATACGATGTGAGTTTCCACAGCTCGGTGGTCCAGACATACCAGCAGGTTGTGCAGATCAAAATAAATGGGCGTTATATGCTGCGATTTACACTGCAGGCGGATGTTGTGCCAGTCGAGGTGACTTTGTCGCGTGACGATGTCGTGATTAACTTTGCGGAATTTGGGGATGATCCCAAAGCGTACGCCACTGTGACACTATTCAATCACGGGAACAGCGAGGCATTCTACGCCTGGTCGCTGAACAATGGCCCTTTCACTATTGAGCCGATGAATGGCTCTATTGCTCCACTGAGCAAGGTGACGGCACACTTGACGTTTAGTCCACCTCAGAGTGTTCTTAGCGCGGAGGCAAGGGCAGAATTGCATGTGAAGGGAGCATTGGATGCGAGAGTGCTTCGTCTGAAGGGTATCATTGCCCCTACGTCATGCGGGTGGTCGGATATTTTGGGCGGCGGCAGTGCCGCTAGTCGTACGAGTGTAACGGCAGGCGGTGAACATGTAATTAAATTGCTACAGGTACCCGCCGGTTTGGCGACACGAGCGACTGTCTTGCTGCAGAACAAAGGGCGCAATAGCGCCTACTTCTCCTTTGAATTTGTACCGGAGTGGGTTACGGTCACGCCAATGTGTAGCTGTGTTGGGGTGGGCGAGGTGGAGGAGATCACACTTGCCGTGCTGCATGATACACCGGGTTTGCTGCAGGCTGTTTTGCTTTGTTTTGTGCGTGGCATGAGAAGACCGCTGAAGCTGAACCTCACCGCAGAGGTATGTGTGGCACCGTTGTGTATTTTGTCACCTCCACGGACCAACGGAGAAGTTCTTTTGGAGTTTGACTCAGTTTACATTGGAACGGAGAAGGCGCTACCGGTACGCTTTCAAAACAGTGGTGACGTGGCGGCTGTCGTGTTTGTGGACCTCCGCTATCTTTCAGAGTACTCGCTGCGCTGCCCGGAGGGCGGGGCGGCCTCGCTGGCGTGGCGGGGTCGCGGTGAATCCGTTCCAGGGGAGACGTACGTCACCATCCCGCCTCGCAGCGAAGCGAACGTGCTGTTTGTTTACCGCCCCATCGGCTTGAGCAACGATGAGCGCTTCCTCGTTGCGTGGCGGCACATTGGGGCGAATGAGATGAATCCACTGGCGCCACTTGCGATTTCTGCACGGGCGATGGTGTCACAGATAGCCGTGGGGCGACAAGTCCTCGAATTCCCGCGCACAGTTATCGGGAGCACCGCTGTGCCAATGTCCGTCGCGATTGAGAACTTCTCTGGTGATTCGGTGCGGTGGGAACTCATTTTGACTCGTGGCGATGGCAGTAAGAAAGAAAGAAGCAGCGATAAGAGCGCTGCGTGCGAAGTATCCCCTTTCCACGTGAACCCGGAGAGTGGCACGTTGGCACCCCACACAAGTGAACTTCTGCACGTCGCATTTGCGCCCACCACGGAGGGCAATTGGCAGGAAAGCTACTCTGTGTATATTGACGGGAACCACCTGCGTCCTTGTGCGGAGGTGCGGGTCTCTGGGTTCGCTGCCAATCCACGGATTTTGTGCGACAAGGAAGAACTTGTTTTTCCTGCCGTTCCTCTCAATGTTGTGGTGCGAGAGACGATGTATATTAAAAATGACAGTTTTGACACCATTGATGTACGATACTCCAGCAAGGGGCAGGGCCCACTCACCGTCACCTTCCCACACGCTGCCACCTTTAACTCTTCCTCACGTATTCCTGTCGTTGTGGAGTTCTGCTCCCCGAAGCCTGTCACACTCTCGACATCCATTACGTTTACATCAGACAAGTGTGAAACACTCACGATTCCTGTAACCGCCACAGCCGTCAACTCATTTCTTACGACCGCTCCATACGTTATTTTCCAGCGCGGCTTCTCACATATTAGGGTCCCTGAGGATCCCGTCGTGGCTGTAGGGCACAGTGAAGAGGAAGAAAGTTCGGATGAAAAGGAGGAGCGGATTATGCCACTCATCTACCACGATGACGTCCCTGCGTTTCCCTCTAGCGCTGCTGCTACCGCTACTGCTATTAGCCCAATGGCTACCGGCTCCGGTGACAGTGCTACGAATGATCGTAAGCATCATTCAGTGGGTCCTGAGCGTCGCCTGACGCTCAAATCTTCTCCGTTTGGCTACGTGGATGCCGTTGGACAAATTCTGTATTCAAAACACGCGATTGAAAACCTGCGGGTGTGGCTAAACCATAGCGTTTTCCAAAAGCCTGTGGATGATCTCATCTATACACTGCAGTCGACTGACGGACGCCAACTTGTTGAGGCGGCGTGCCGACTTTCTGGTAAGAAACCCAATAAATTGGCTCGACCCACTGGGAGCGAAAGGTCGTTGAATTCTCTCCAGTTATTGGTGTCAATGATAAAGTCGAAGGGCGGTTGTCTGAGTGAAGTCCGCTTACCGTATTTGTTGAATTACGGCGCGTACCGCCGTTACTGCGAGAGCTCCGGCGCGGATGTTCTTTCAGAAATCGCCTTTGCCACGCGTGCGGATCATGCGTGGGTGACAGTAATCCTGCAGTTTATTCGTGTGTTTTATCTTCCCAAGGTGGATCTTGCGGCCATTTCTCAGCTTTACCCGGGGATGAAGGCGTATCTTTCAAACGCCACGTGGGAACCTGCACCTTTTCAGGCGGCCCTTCGCGAAAGCAATGTGTTCAGCCCCGAAGAAGGTTTACTGCTCTGGTGGGTTTTCTACAATGTGCAGAAGTGCAAGAGGGAGGGTCTGCTGAAGGGTAGGACGAAGATGCTTCGGGGATTTGACGACCTATGCGACTGTGTGGGTGTGATTGCTTGCATTCTTGCATATGTGCCTTCGGCAGCAACACGTTTTTCATTGATGGAACGCCTTGTTTCTGAGCCTAAAACTCGAAACGATGTGGAGAACAATGTGGCGCTGCTTTTTGCCATGCTGACTTACCTTGGGTTTCCCGCCTGTGTCGGGCCACGTGACCTGCTAGAGTACAACAGCGTCGACTGGCTGCTGCTTGTCGCGACGCTCTTTGTTTTTCTGCCGCGCTTCATTCCGTCTGCCGTCATTTTGCTTGAGGGAAAACTGCTCGTCCCGATGTCACGGTCACTGGAGGTGGCGAACGCGTCGAACACGGAACGTACGTACACCGTTGAGATGAGCAACGCCGTCTTTCGAGCACTGCCACGGGAGTTCAGCGTCAATGCTGGTGGTGCGGTGCAACTCAGCGTGGAGGTGACGTTGCTTTTTAACCGCCGCGTAGAAGGGGAGTGTGTTGTCATTGACACCTCCGCTTGCCTCATGGATGAGCGGGCACCCGTCGTGTTTCGTCTCGCCGCTGTCCCCAACAATGAACCCCTGCGTGTCATAAACATTCAGACCCCGCTGTATACATCCCTTTATTATGAGATGATTGTGGAAAGCCCTTTTCCGGAGAGTTGTGTGGCAACCCTTCGCTTTGCGCAGGAGTATAAGAATGATGCCGGGTACCCTGAGGGGGATTTTGGTAAAACGATACAGAATGCCTTCAGTATCCCCGTTGGAGTCGTTCCTTTCCGCAGCGGCGAGAAATCAAAGGTGGTGGTGCAGTTTTTTCCTTTTGCCCGCGGTAAATACGAGGCTCACATCACATTTCATGACGAACGGCAGGGCGAGTTTTCGTACCTTGTCGTTGGCACATGCACGATGCCAAAGGTGACGGACAAAGTGAGCATCCGGGCCGAGTCTGGGGAGGAGTGCACGCAGACAATTTTCTTGAAACTTCAGAATGCACCGTTTGAAAGGATGCTGCGTGCGGCTGAGGACCATCGCCGCGTCTCTGTTGTGCGCGCCGGGAAACGTTCCCTTATGCCGGATCTTGTGGGTGTGCCCTACAGTGTGAGCTTTGTGAACGAGGCCAACGTTGGCCCGAATCCCTTTTTTCGCGGCCCCGAGAATGTCACATTTGTGGCAGGCGAGTCGATGTTGCCATTGTCTTTCACATTTTTGCCCAAATATCTCGGTGAGTACAATTGTTACATTATTCTTGCCTCAAAGTACGATGTGCGTAGCATTCAGTTGACTGGCAAGTGTGTTCCGACCGGTGAAAGAGGCGTTCTTCGTTTTGCCTGCCCTGCTAGACAACTTATCACACAGGGCTTGTCTGTGACGAATAACACCAATGAGAATTGGTTGATTACGGCCACCGTGACGGGTCCGGGGTTCAGTGGGCCAAAAGAGATGCGTGTACCGTGTGGGAAGCAACGGGAGTATTCACTGCGCTACTGCCCTGCGTGGATTTCCTCGGCAAATGGGAATCTGACCCTATTCAACAACACGACGGGGGAACGCTGTGTATATACGCTTATCGGCGAGGCGGAGGAGCCAGTGTCAGAGGATGTGCTCTTTGTGGACTGCCGGGCACGCGAACGTTGTGTAGTGACATTGACAGTTCCTGACGTCAGTGGTGTGGATGCCACATATCTCGTGGAGACGGATCTGCCGTTTGCTCGAGGGGAGTCGTCACTTTTGGTGCGAAGAGGATCTACCAGCAAGTACTCACTCGTATTGCATCCTGTGATGGGTGGCACGTATGCAGGGACGGTTAAGTGTCGTGCCCCCAATGGACGTTATGCGTGGTATGCCGTGACAGTCAATGTCAGCCCCCCTGAGAAGGAGGGTACGGTTGAGATAAGGACCGATACACGCACTCCTGTGACAGCCGACGTGAGTATTCAGAACCCAAGTGACAAATCTCTCATATTTAATGTGCGTCGCTTCGGCCCTGGTCTTTTTGGTGAGAACTCTATCCTTGTGGAACCAGGCGCCCCCGCGGTGTACTCGCTGTTGTTTGTTCCATCCCAACTTGGCTCCTTTGACGGACGCCTTGCATTTTGCAGCGAGGAGGCAGGTGAGTTCTGGTACGAACTGAGCATTGTTGTCGAGGAGGCGGCTCCTGAAGAGATTGCATTTGAAAGCGAGATTGGTGTTCCAGATGTGATGCAGGTTCGGATACCAAACAACACCTCCATTGAACGGACTCTTGTTGTCTTCAATACCAACCCCCGTAATTTCTCAACGGCACCGGCTCTTTTGACGATTCCAGCCTATTCTGAGCTGACGGTTGATATTGTGTATACGCCTACTGCAATAGAGAAGCCACAGGAGACAATGCTCAGGCTACATAATCCGGATCTTGGCGAGTGGCGCTACCACTGCCGCGGTGTCGGCCGTCCGCCCGCGGAGAGCGCCCCGGTGGAGTGTGTCTGCGACGTCGGGGGAAAATTGTCCGTGGCGCTCAAGATAAAAAATCCGTTTGATGTACACATTGTCCCCGTAGTGGAACTTTGCTGCGACAAGGAGGGGTATTACACCTTGGCTACGATGCCGCAGCTGCCATCCATCGCACCGGGGGCGGAGGGTGCCATATCGCTTACCTACACGCCCAAATCTGTCGGTCGCCATGAGGCCACCGTCCTCGTGCGTCCGAAGACTTCGGCGCAGGAGGCGCAAAATTTCACTTGGAGATTCCCGCTGAGGGGTGTTGCGGAGTGGCGTTGCCGCGATGCGCCTCGGCGTTTCCGTTGCGTGGCAAGGCGCCAGCTGGAGGAGACGATCACGTTGGAAGCACCGGGGCTTACGGAAGAGGAGTGTTGTCTCTCCGTGGCGTTGGAATTAGAGCGTCACCAGCAGTACGCGACGGCTGTAGAGGCAAGTCTTCAAAGCAAGGTGGAGGTTTCCAACGCAGCAAAGGAGCTGCTTACTGTCAATATACGCTTTGCTCCCTTGCGTTCCTTCCTTGCCGCGGCTGACCTTGTCGTTCGCTCTGGAAAGGGTGCGGCGTGGCGGTATTCTATCGTTCTGGATGCATTACGGGCTGAGTATGACGATGTGGTGACTATTAAGGCCGCTCTTCGCACCGTATCCGCCGTCGTATTCGACATGTACAATGTGTTTCCACACACTTCTCCTTTCAATGCCTATTTTACCCCTGAAAGCTCTCGTGATTTTTCTGTAATGAATGCGCGTGGGGTGCTGCATCCGTTCTTGGTGGGCCAGCGCAACCCGGGGGTTGCGACACCGCTGCAGGTGCGGTTTGCCCCCTCAGCCCGTCTACCGCGGGTGGAGGGGACTCTCATTGTTGACACCGAGGAAATGCAGTGGTCCTTCAAGGTGATCGGGAAGATTGAGGATAGACAGACGCGATAGATGTCTGTTTGGGATGTAGAGAGAGAGAGAGAGAGAGAGAGAGAGAGAGAGAGAGAGAGAGAGAGAGAGAGAGAGAGAGAGAGAGAGAGAGAGAGAGAGAGAGAGAGAGAGAGAGAGAGAGAGAGAGAGAAGGCTTTTTATTTAATTATGTATAAAATGACAACAATGAAGAGGCAGAGGAAAAACAAAACAAAACAAAATCAACTGCACCAACACGATGATTAGGGAAGACATGAAAGCTTGCTAGTGGAATTGATATGTATGCCTGCATGAGGATGCAGAGATTAAATTTCTTGTTTATTTATTTTCTATTTTTTTTTCCTTTTTCCCCAAAATATAAATGCGTTTTGCGATGTGTGTGTGTGCGTCAGTCTTGCTTGGAAGAAGAAGCAGCAGCAGCAAAATGGATGACTGGGAGAAGGAGTACGAGGCGGACCGGCGACGGCTGGCGGAGGGAAAAGATGTTATTTTTGACGTCCGGCGAAACGACGCGGCAGCGGATGTGTTCGAGGAAAAGAAAGACGTGTCTTCTCACGCCGTCCCTACCGGCGGGTCGGGGACGTCGGCGATGCCTGGATTTGTGCCGGCGTCTTTCGGACCGACAACAAAAACGGTGGAACCCTCACGGACGGGGGATGTCGCACCACCCGTCGCCGTGCCGTGCGATGATGATGAGGAGGAAATCCGTAAGTTATACGCCCAATACGGCGATGACGACTCCCTGCCGCGTAACAGGCGTGCCATGTCCGATGAAGAGGGGGACGAGCGAACTCAAGATTACAAACTACACGATGCCCGCTTCAGCCTCACTTGCCTTCCGCCTGGGTGGAATCTCTGCGGTTTATTTGGCAAAAAGTTGGGTCGACGCCTATTTTTTGCGGAAACAGTGACATCGCCATTTAAAGGGTTTCTCGCTAGCAAAGAATCACTCGTCGGCTGCTTTGTCACGCCAAATTGTGTGTACCTTGGCGACGTTCAGACAGGTGCGATGATTATCTGCGTTGACATCCTCCGGCTTCATGAGATGCACATTTTTGACGGTCTTGCAGTTGGCTTGAAAACGTTGGATGGGCTTGAGTTGTTTCTGCAGTTACCAAAGCATGCGGAGCGACTGGTGGAAATCCTACAGAAGATTTCGGCGTTCTGGAAAGTAAACGTCAAGGTGGTGCGGTCCACGACTGACGCGGCAAAGGTGTTCAAGAAGGAGATGCGACTGGTGGAGAAGAAGAGCCAGGCGTGGAGGCTCGTAGAGGATCCCCGCACGGGTCTTCGTATCGTTAATCTTACGGGAAAATTTGTAAACATCCTTTCGCCCATTGCGTCCAAAATTCTGCACTGGGTTGGTTTTGTAAACCAGCTGTCGAAGGACTGGAAGGGCTCCAAGAAGGCACAGCGTCGGTGTGCGTGGGTGACAGCAACGTGCTTTTTTGTTGCCAGAGAGGAAGGGCTCGCGGGGGACGCGCGGAACATCAAACATTGCGTGGCGATGCAGTATATGACCGAGCTGTACGCAGGCCCCGGCGGGGAGTTGGGCATCGTCGCCGCAGCAGGCCCTCCGCAGCCACCGATATCCGTGACGTTTGAGTCGGAGGAGGAGAAAAATGCGGTTCTCTTTATCTTTCAGGAGTGCTACAACTATCGGAATGGCGGCGGCTCCGTCAAAGTTACGCGCGTGGACAGCGTGGAAGAAAAGATTCGCTTTATGAAGGCTGTGGGAGAGGCACGACCGCAGCTTTTTCTTATGCGCCCGCAGAAGGAATTATACGATTTCTTGCGAGGTCCTTCTGGGAGGAAGTAAAAGGAGAAAAAAACAAATTTCTCTGCTGCACGGTGGCATCTTAAATTTTATTTTGTTGTTTCTCAACGTACTGCCACGGTGCGTTTTTTCTTTCTTTCTTCCTTCTTCTGAGTCTGGTGTCGCATCACTGGTCACGTCCCTCTCCTTTCTTCTTTGGATGCGGGTGCCTCGGCGTGCGTCCACTGCGCAGGACACGAGGGGAGGGACGTTTTTGTTCTCCTCTTTGCCCTTTGACTGTAGAGCGTTTTTTTTTGTTTTTTTTTTATCACGCGGAAACAGAGGGGACCCTGTGTGTGTGTGTGTGTGTGTTAGCATGCGGCGCCTGCATCAGACGCACATCCGTCGAGGTGAAGGCGCGTCACTGACGTTCTTTTTTTGCGTCCGTGAGGAGGGCGTCAAGCTGCCGGATCCGCCGTACGCGTTGCCCACTTCTCCCCGCTTTGATGCAGAGCGTAGCGGGGCGTTCAACAAGGCGTGGCTGCAGCACGAATTGCCCGCCTTGAAGCCGCTGGTGCGAAACAGCGTGTACCTGCCCAGCAAGGAGGAGCTCTGGAGGTTACCCATGCACGAGGGACTGGAGAAAATTGCGGAGCGCTTGCCGTATCACGACGTTCTTCGGTACATCATGGATCATAATTACTTCTTTTTGTTCAAAACTTTGCTGAATAAACCTGATGCGCCCCTTCCGCATGTTATGTACGAAGATTTCATGAAGTGCCGGACATTTTCTTCGCTGCAGAACCCACCCGAGGAGCAGTTTGCGCTACCGCCGACGTTGCTGCGGGTGCTGCTCTGTATGGCGGCATACCAGTGCATTCTGGACCCACACTACTTTACAACTTGCCAGCTGCTCTTCCGACGGCTGGAGCAGCAACAGACAATGACGTCCGGGGTTTTGTCCGCGTGGGTGTACTGCTGTGCAGCCAGTGGGAGGGTGGATGATGCCTTGGCTCACGCGAAGCACATGGCGGATCACGATGTTCCATTTGATGAAACCGTCTTTTCTCTTATGCAGCATCCTTCTGTGGACCCTGTGGCGGCCGAACACTGTGCGGTGTGGCACTCCGCGAAGGGGATACTTTTGCAGCGTCGTCTGGGCGAACGCCTTCAGACGGAGTACCGCAGCGACAGCGTGGCAGCCCACGGCATGTTTGTCTTTTACGCACTGACGTTAAGCCACGTGAAAAAATGGGAGGTGATACGAGCCGCAGTATCCCTGGGCGTGTCTCTTTCGGAGCGGACTTTGGCGCTGTTGGTGGATGTGTACGCTCGCGAGAAGGGCCTGCGATGTGGTCCCAAAACTGTGAGGGCCTTCGCTTCGCTATTAGCGCGTGACGGCACAGTGGGGCATCTGCTTTTTGTGCTGCTTCGTGCGAGAAAGAACGAACTCTTGCCGGAGTTTCAGGGTTTGCCAAGGACCGTTTTTAGCGAGGCGGAGAAGGCGGATATCTTGCAGTGTGTGGAGAGACGCGCCCGTCGTGAAGACGGATTTCGTGCAGCCATTCCGCTTCTCCGTGCGTTGGTGCAAGAGGACGACCCACGACATTTCTTTCACGCCCTTAACCGTGCCGTTTGCGAGAATAATAACAGAAGCAGCATTGGTGTTGATAGCAGTGTGAATAATGGTGCTGCTCCCGTGCATGCATTGAGTGACGAGCAGAGTCTTCAATTTCTAGTGACATCTGTACGAGGCCTGTTGCGTGAGGTGGACACGCTGGAGAAGACGAGCCGGAGGGAGGCAGTTAAGACGAGTCGTGCTGCAGTGAGGGCTGAGAAGGCACCGGGGGATGAGAAGGAGGAGGAGTTGCGGACGTTGGACGAGAGCGGCATTCCTGCGGGTGTGCGTGAAATTGCCCGGATTCACCTTATCGAGGAGGCGGAGCGCGCGAAAAGAGCCGCGCGGCTTCGCACGGCGTGGGTGAATCCAGACGGCACGTTGTGACGACACACCCCTTGCACGGAATCTGTCAGTTATTTCACCGGACCCGTGTGGGATCTGTGCATTTGTGCCTCCTTTTCTCTCTGCTGTAAATTCCAGGCAGATTCATTTTTTTTTTTTTCTTTATTGTTCGTCTTTCTATTTACATGTCTCTTGGGCTTACGTGCGGCACAAACAACCACATGCTGGCTGCAGTAAAATGCTGTCGTCCGCCAGGGCTTTGCTGGCTCGACTGGAGATCTACCGCGGCGACCGGGCCGAGGAGGAGGAGAAGGAGCTGCAGCCACTGCCGGAGCCGCCCCGACAACACCCTCCGCTTGCGGTCGACGCCGTTCTTACGCGGCGTGTTGCCCTCCTGCGAAAACGCCTGAATGCCTTGAGAGAAGAGAACGGCGGCTTGCGTCGGGAAATAGAGGCCGCGGAAAGGACGATCGCGACACACAGCTTGCCCACTGCCGCGATCCTCATGTTGGGCTTCCAGTGCGTGCTGGAGGAGTGCAGCCGGGCGCTGCAGAGTGAAGGAGAGCATGTGCACGAAACATCACTCATGCGTGATGCGTTGGTCCATGCGCTGCAGCAGCTGTATTCCTTGAAGTCGTTTATGAAGACACTGGATAGCCTACATGAAGCGTACAGGCAGGTGCAAAGGGAGGGCGTTCAGTTGGTTCTGGAGAACTATGTTGGGGGGATTTCGGAGGATGACGTACGCACGGCAGCGGCGGAGCTCATTGTGCGATATGATGTCCTTGAGGAAAGACGGATGCAATCGGTGAGCGAGTACAATTTACTTCAGCGCAGTTTTGCCAACGCCGTTGGTGTGGCTGTTTCCCGTGCCATGCTGCATGTTGGGAAGAGCAAGCAGGCAAGTCAACAGACTCTGTCGTTGCTGAGTGCCACGCAGCAGGTGGTGCTGGGGGCGTTGGATGTCTTTCGTCATTTAGAGCGAGACGTGGCGACGAGCTTCGCGCGGGGCGTGAGTGTGAATGCGGCTCTCCTCAAGAGGCTCCACGCAATTAGTCTGTCGATGGTCCCACAACACACAGCGCCCACCACCGCCGATCTGCAGGCGATGACCGATGGCGTGGCGGACACTGACATTGAGCAGCGGCGGGACGGCTGCTACGACGCTTGTGTGCAGTCTTTGCAGGCCGCTTTGTTTCTACTGGTGGACTGACAGGAATGTCTTGCGGGATGAATTTTCTTTTATTTTTATCGTTACCATATATATATATATATATATATATATATATTTGATGTATACATGCGTGGACATTCTCTCTGTGTGAGCTGCATGGCATAATGTCAAACACATGGGATTTTATGGACGGTCTTTTTGTGGCAAATTTGTCGTTTCCATTCTCTCTCTCTCTCTCTTTTTTTTTTTTTGTTTCTGCCTGCCTGTTGGCTGGTCCGAGGGGGGCCCACGAAGAAGAAGACGAGACACAGACACACAAGACGGAGAGAGAGACATACGTGGAAGGAGGGAGTGAAATAGGAAAAAAAAAGACAAAAAACAATAATAATAAAAAAGGGGACATGATGCAGTACGGTAACGCTTTAGCGCAGTACGGGACGTACCAGCAGCGTTATCCGGTTGCTGTTAGCCAAGGCGGGATTGCTGCCATTCCTTCCCTTAGTAAATCCCCAATGATTCGCGACGTGTGGGAGGAGAATTTAGAGGAAGAGTTCAACATCATACGATCCCTGATCAAAGACTACCCTTATGTGTCAATGGACACCGAGTTTCCCGGAGTTGTAGCGAAGCCTGTGGGCAATTTTAAGGCAACACACGAGTTTTATTACCAGACACTTCGTTGTAATGTCAATTTGCTCAAAATGATTCAGCTAGGGATTACACTACTCAATGAAAAGGGGGAGGTACCGGAAAACTGCTGCACCTGGCAGTTTAACTTCCGTTTTTGCCTCACAGAGGATGTGTACGCACAGGATAGTATTCAGTTACTCCGCCATGGCGGCATTGACTTTGACTACTTTGCGCAGTATGGGGTTGAGGTGACGCACTTTGCGGAGCTCCTCATCTCGAGCGGGCTCGTGCTGAACAGCGACATTCGCTGGCTTGCCTTCCATGCAGGCTACGACTTTGGTTATTTGATGAAGGTGGTCTGCGGCAAGGACCTGCCGGAGAAGGAGGATGACTTCCTGCAGATCTTCCACTCCCTGTTCCCGTGCGTGTACGACATCAAGTACCTCCTGCGCGCCACCGACCTCTCGCACTCGTTGGGTTTAGACCACCTCTCGGAGAGCCTTCGGGTGCGCCGGTTCGGCATGGCGCACCAGGCCGGCAGCGACTCCCTCCTCACCGGCCACTGCTACTTCAAACTGCTCCGCGACTGCTTCGGCAGCAACCCGCCCGTGGCAAGCAACGGCGTGCTCTACGGCCTGTGCGAAGACGCGTCCTCAGCCGCCACGCCCAGCAGCACGACGATACCGGGCGGCAGCGCACACGCGTTCGCTTCGTTTACCGCCAGCAAAAACACCACATTCCCGTCCACGCCGCTCAACAACTCGGTGAAGGGCCACAACTAAAAAAACAAAAACAAAACAAAGTCCCTGCCGTTGCCACCTCTTTCCAACCCGCGCAGGCGTGAGTTAAAAGAGGCGGCCACGACGAAAAAAAACAACAACAAAAAACAAGAGAGAAAAAAAAAACTGAAAAATAAGCCAAAAGCGAGCGACGGGGAAAACAAAACAAAAACAAAAAAGAAAAGGAAAAGGAATTACAAATAAAAACAAACAAACAAAAAAAAAAAAAGAAGAAAAATGAATGCAAATGAATTTGAGACGAAAGAAATGCGTATACGATGATGCATGTGCGGAGTTATATAACAAACGGAAGGACACAAAAGAGACTGAAGGGCCAGGAGAGGAGGGAGGGAAAAGGAGAGAGGGAGGAGGTCTTCTAACAATACATTCCTGCCGTCACCCACTGCTATTTATTCGTCACGTTTATTCCCCTTCTCACCACGCAGCCTTTTCCGCCATCCGCTGCAGCGGGCGGTGCATGCGGCCGGGGAGATTTATTTGTGCGAACTTTTTTTTTTTTTATTTATTTTCTTCTATATATTTTTTTTAAATAACACCCCTCCTCCCAAAACAACAACAAAAAGTTCGCAGGAAGAAACGAGAGAAAGGCTGTAAGGAAGGGCTGTCACCACCACCGCCCCTCCTCTCCAGAGACAGACGAAAAAAAAAAAAAAGAAAAGAAAAGGAAGTTAAGACGCATGTCTTTGGAAAATGAAAACACGTCGGACATTTGGTCCAACCCCGTGGATCATTTTCGTCCCAATCTCAAGGCACTGACGCTCTACGCTGACTACCAGTACTACGTCGACAACTGGCTGCACGTCAAGGAGCGGTGGCTCTCACCGTGGTACCTGCCGTGGTGGACCCCCATGTATCAACTTGGCACATGGTACTCGCAGCGCAGGAGGAACCTCTTCCTGGTGGAGAACCATCTCAGTTACCGGCCGTACAGATATCGCCGTAACGATGAGGACCGCAAGAACCCGTATTAGGTAAGCGTATAGGGTGGGGCGCAATGCATGCATTGGTAGCTGCGCGGTGGGAGTAGTGGATGAGGAGAATTGTTTTTTTTTCTTTTGTATGTATGTGTGTGTGTGTGTGTAGGGTGCATGAATGACAGGCGTGACAAATAAAGATGCCACCAACACGAAAAGAGGAGGAGTGGGGATATGAGATGCGTGAAGATTTTTTTTTCTCTCCTTTCTCTCTCTCTCTTTTTCTCTCCTTAGGGAACAAAAACAACAACGAAAAGGACCCTCCAAAGAAGCAAAAAAACAAAACATGTGAGAAAAAAAAAAGAAAAGGAAGAGATGGAGGGACGTTTTTATTTTGTTGGATATTTATTTTATTGGCGTCTCTTCTTCCTTTTTTGTTTTTGGTAGTCTTCTTGTCGTGTGGTGTCATCCTTTACACTCTCTTCTGTTTCATTTGGGGAGTTCGCTATTATCACGGATGCTGCCGCTGCGGCAAACCGTGAGAAATAATGACGCAGTCCAAGGAATTTTCTGTCGTGTCTTTCTTTCCCTCATCTGTTGCCGCTGCTGGAGGCGTGCGGCTGATGGCAGTGATGTTTTTTTTTATTGTTGGCTGCGTCCCAATTTTTTATTCTTTGCTCCCCCTCTCCCTCTCTCTCTGTCTATTCGGTGAATGACAGCGGCAAAAGGGCATCCGATACAAAACGTGAAAAAGGGTTTTTAGGGAAATTTTTACCTTTTTACACACAGACACACAGAAATAAAAATAGGAAAAGAATATGTTAGAGGGTCCTGATTGTTTGCAGCTTGACGAGAATGTGCTGGAGGCTCTTGTGCATGCGCTTACAGCTGACCGAAGTCTTTGCGTCGATGACTGTCTGCCGTACATTCTCAACGGGATTGCGCATGGGGAATCTGACGTGGGTGCGCAGCGTCGCAGAGGGACGCGTGGGCGCTGGGAGCACGCAAAGGCCGCCGAGGTGGCAGAGTCGTTGGGGCGGGCCTTGAATAGTCGCGCCGGCGGAAAAGAATGGTCTGCGGCAGAGGATGGATGGAACATGTTTTTGTGCGGCATTGGGTCGGGACGGAGAGCCAATGGTGAGGTGCGCGAGGCACTGAAGGCACTCGTGGGGCCGGCCACGCAGGCATTGGCCCCCGTGCTGGAATTTCTTGTCTCCGAGGAAAACGTCCATGAGGACAGACTCCTGTGTGCACGTGGATTCTATGCCCGTGCCGTATCTTCCTTGCTTCGAGTTCATCTACCCGGGGCCACAGAGAAGGAGTGCGTCATGTGGTTGCGACGCTGCGATTGGAAAAAGGAGCTTGAGGAGCTGCTAAGCCCTTTTCTGCAGTGCGAGGTCGAGCCGCTGGCGAAGGAGTTGGCCTTTCACTTCCAACAAGGAATGAAGACTGCGCGGCGTGAGGAGCCCCAGCACTTTTTTTCGTTTCTCTTGCAGTTGTATGAGCGCTACAACGCTGACGTTCGCACACATGGATGGATATCGCCCAATATGAAGGCGCAAGATTCCATTTCTCTGTTGGCGCTGGGGAGTGTGTCACTGGCGTTCATTGCGGTTTCTGTCTTCCGCGGTGTCTACGGCTGGTGTGAGGGATCCCAATTTCTCGCTTCCAGGGACTTCACAGTGCATGGTGTGAACTCTTTTATTGAATTCTTGGACCGGGCGAGGGGGATCATTCACGGCGGAGCGCAGCTGCTACTGGCGGAGAGCATTTTTTTTCACTCCGCCTTTTGTGTTTTTTTAGAGACGGCAAAAGTTGCCGCTGAACGGTCCCTCACCACGGGGGCACGTGCACTGTGGCGACAGGAGTTTCTTGCCATGGATCCACCGCGGGCATTCCATACCGTTTGCGGCGCATATCACATGTTGCGGTGTCTGGAAGCGGTGGTTCGGCGTTTGGGCGTTGTGTTCTCACTTCTCCCCACCTACGCAGTGAGCCTCTGGGAACGAACCATTACGCCGTGTTTGTCGACATTTGTTTGCGTTTGTGAGGCAGCCAAAGAGTCATGTGATTCGAATTTAGATGCGGTTATGGTGTCGCTTGAGGTGCTTAGTTGTGCGCATGCCATGCATTCTGCTGCGGAGGAGTGGATGGAGCAGTGTTGCGAGGTCTGTGGCGGGGTGGAGATTTCTACGTCCCCTCTTGAGCGGCTGGCGTTGTGGCGTGATGAGCTCACACGCGGAACGACGCACGATGTAAAGCAGTTTTTTGCGCGACTCTTTGCGGAGCCTGGCCTTTTGGAGTGGCGGGACCTTCAGGCATGGGATGCTCTACTGCGTGTTGTGTGTAGCGGTAAAACTCCGGCACACGCCGTTGTTTATGAAGACATGAAGCTATCTTTGACACGACTTATATCGGAGGAGCAGCGAAACAGTTTGAAGGAATATTGCCAAGTAACTAGCATGGGGGCGTTAGCTACCCTTCTGGGAAACACCGTGACGTGATTCACCGCCCACACACACACACACACACACACACACACACACACACACACACACTCCCTCTCTCTGGCACCGCGTATGCCTTTCCGTGGCGTATCGACCGAGTTGTATAAGCGGGGCCACACTGCTTCCGTCATTGGTAGGGGGACGGGAGGGAAAGACGTTTGTTAATAATTTTTTTACTTCTTGCAGTCCATCAATGATTATTATTATTATTATAGTTGGTTTTGCGGCCGGTATGAATGGTATTAGTTGTGAATTTCCCGTCGCGTGGATCGCGGGTGGTTGGTTTCCTGCCCTCTTTCTCCAGCCCGAATCCCCACCTTACATGTCTGCCATCCGCCTCATGGCGTATATTTATTTCTTTTTTTTTTTTTTTTTTGCTTCGGACATTTCCGCTGCGATTGTCATGGTGTTTTTGTATGCGTGTGTGCGTTGCCGGGAGGAGGGACGCGCAGCCCACAAGAGAAAAGGGGCTGTGTGGATTGTGCATGCAAGCATGCCGTCAATTCCTTCGTCACAGGATCAAAAGGGGTGGCCATACCGCGTGGGTATGTGAAGTTTCTCTCGCGGAGATGTCCAAGCAGGGCGAGGGCATTTTTTCCGAAGGCGACACGACGGCGTTGCGACCCCCGTTTTCCTCCGCCCCCGTCGCGCGACGTCTCACCACGACAGAAGAGGCGGTGCGTCGCATCTCGTTGTTTTACAGCCCTCACACATATGCCTACGGCCTTCTTAGTGCTCTTGTTCTTTTCGACGAGGCAAAGCGTCGTGGGCTTCTGGACCCCAAAGTGGATGCGGGGAAGTTTTTTGTGCACCCCATGGCGCTCGTTCGCCACCCGGAAATGTTTTCACAGTTTTTTGGACCCGAACGGTCCCAATTCTTTTCCGCGATGCTTCAGCAACTTCTTGCCGTGCACGATGCGGAGTACTCCTCCGTCGTGCGGGTGTGTCGTTCACAGGGTGTGGATGCGACAAGGTGGATCCCATTCCTGCGCGGACTGTGTCTCTGCGTGATTGCTGGCGACCCAATACTCTCCGAGGCGAGTTTCGTCATTGAGGACTTGATTCTGAACGGTGTTCTCCATGACGGTTTAAGTGTTCCTGGAGACTACAACGATCGTGGCGTCTCAGTAGCCGACATGCTCATGGAGGCTGCCGTGGAACTTGGCTCGGCGAGGCTGTCGGAGCTCAGTTTGTCCGTATACCGACAGTTTCTGCCGGAAACACCTTACGCGGTCAGCAAGAGGCTGGCTTTGTGTATCACGCGAGGTGAGAGACGTCATCTCGACTGGAACTTGCGATGCCTCCCACGTAAGCCACGCGGCCGGTCACGTTTGAAGCGTTAATGATAATTATGTTTTTTTTTTTTTTTAATCATTGCCGTTCACGTCTATTTATTTATTTTTTTGTGTGTCTTTTTAAAAGGTTGCGTTTAGTGAACCCTCGTGTTTGTTGGCGTTCATGTGCGGTGCACCTCCCGCGGTGTGTTTGTGCACGCCGTTTCATTGGGCGGTTTTCTTTCGCCATTTTCTGCCTGTCGTGCACGTTCCTCCCCCTTTCTTCTCTCTCCCTTTTTCTCTTTGTTTGTTTGTGTGTGTTTGTGTGTGGGAAGAGATGGAGCTGAATGAGCTGCAACGCCTCTCGGCGGCCTTTTACGAGCAGGGGATGCGGTACACCTTCACGGCCTCGCAACACCCGTCAAATCCCGGTGTCTACCGCTTCGTCTTCTCGCGGCCCACCAACGCCACGCCGGAATCGCCAGTGTACATCACCGTCGATATTTTCCGGTCCCCTCCCGACAACAAAACAGACGACGACAACACGACGACGTACTGCGCGATGGTTGAGGGACTCCGTTGGCCGTATTATTTCCGTCTGCGCGGTGGGGCGATCGATGAGGGCGGCTTTTCAGAAACTCTCCTGGAGAAGGTGGACGCACAGAAGTGTAAAGTCAACGAGCGGTGCCTTTGGATGTAAAAATGCCGCAGACTTCCCCCCCCCCCCCCCGTTTTTTTTTTTTTGTCTTTTGAGCTCTCTTTCCTTTTCTCTCTTTCCTCCTGTTGTATGCATGTGCAATTGTCGTTTTTTTTTTTTTTTGTCTCTTTTAAATAATATATATTTACATTCTCCGTGTCGTCCGCCGCGCATTGATACGCCCATTGCACGGAGCTGCCAGAAGATATTTGTTGCCATAAAGTGAGAGGAAGAATTTAAAACACACACACACACAAAAAAGGGTTACAACTGCTTAAAAGGAAGAAGCGGAAAACAAAAAAAAAACAACAATAAAAAAATTAAGGGTGGAAGAAATCAGAGATGCGTGCTTATTTTTCACTCAGCATCGCTCTTTTTCTTTTTCTGTTGTACGCCACGGCGGGACACTCTTTCCATGCGGAAGACGCTCCAATTTTGACAGATGAGTTTTTGGAACTTGTGAACCGTCTCAACGGCGGAAAGTGGACGGCTGGCCGCACAAGCCGAACAAAACACCTCACGCGTCGCGGGGCAAGTCGGCTGCTGGGGACTTTCTTAAGAAACACCAGCATCCTCCCCCCGCGGCAGTTCAGCGAGGAGGAGCTTCGTGAGCCGCTCCAGGACAGGTTTGATGCCGGAGAAGCGTGGCCGAAATGCCCCACCATCACCGAAATCCGTGACCAATCGAGCTGCGGCTCTTGCTGGGCTGTGGCAGCAGCTTCAGCCATTTCGGACCGCTATTGCACTCTTGGTGGCGTACGGGACCTCAGAATTTCTGCGGGGGATCTTATGTCGTGCTGCGATGTTTGCGGTTATGGCTGCAATGGTGGCTATCCCGAAGTTGCCTGGGAGTACTACGCCGTGCACGGTATTGTGTCAGAGTACTGCCAGCCTTATCCTTTTCCATCCTGTGCGCATCACGTGAACAGCAGCGATCTCTCCCCATGCTCCGGTGAATACGACACGCCTACGTGCAACAGCACTTGCACGGATAAGAAGGTCCCATTGATTAAGTACAGGGGGAACACCTCATATCTCTTGAGCGGAGAGGAGTCTTTTAAGCGAGAGTTACTTTTGAATGGCCCATTCGAGGTTTCATTTTCAGTTTACGCTGACTTCTTGGCTTACACAGGCGGCGTATACAAGCATGTCGCTGGGACTTTTCTCGGGGGCCATGCGGTACGTATTGTTGGCTGGGGTGAATTGAATGGAGAGCCGTACTGGAAGATTGCGAACAGCTGGAATCGTGAGTGGGGGATGAATGGCTACTTTCTTATTGCCCGTGGCGTGGATGAATGCGGAATCGAGGGAAGCGGCGTCGCCGGTACTCCAAGAATACCATGACTGCAGTGAAAGGAAAGAAGGAAAAGAAAACAGAAAAAAAAGAAAACAGAAAAAAAAAAAGAAAAGGGAATATTCTTCTCTACTGCTGGCCGGGCTCTGAAGGTGTTGAGAAGGAAATAAAAGAAAGTAGTATAGGAAAGAAGTGAGTGACGACGGGGCATTGGCCTTTGACACCTCCTCGTTGTTTTTTTTACTCCAAGTAACTGCACATGCATGTATAAACGTATATATATGTGTATATGTGTTTATACGTGTGTGTGTGGACATTTATATATATTTATATTTCGATAGCCCCGCTCTTGTGACATGCTGAACGTTCTATTCGGGTTGGAGATGTGTATTACATGCGAAGTGGCAGAATTCAAAAGGGGACCGCCAGCCACGAGACCCCGCCGCAAAAAGAAGGTGAGAAGGAAATGAAAAAAAAAAAAAAAAGAGGACGGGTGGAGAGGCAAAAACATAATAAAGAAAGAAAGAAAAGGAAAAAAAAAAAAAAAAAAGGAAATTGTCTTCTTCTTGTTGCCATCGGTTCAATGACTCCTTTTCACCGCGGCCCTTCAAAAGGTTTCATAAGATAAGGGGAAAGAAGAAGAACAACAACGACAAAAAACGAAAGAAAAGAAAAGGAAAAAAAAAAAAAAGAAAGAAAAAATGGTACCAGAAATATTGTTTGTTTTTCTTTTCATCGGGGAATATATTGAGTTGGGTAGCCCGCCAGTTTTGTGAACATATTTTTTATTTATTTATTTATTTATTTATTATTTTTTTACACGCCTTTCAGTCTCCCGTTCAAACAAAAAGAAAGAAGGAGAATAAAAATGGGGGGGCGGGGGGGGAGAAGCCAAAAGGAAAAAAAAAATTATGGAGTAATGGCCTGGACGGTAGACGAGAGGAGCTTTCAATGCAGTCACAGATGTCTACAATACATATAAATATGTGCCTCTTTCTCTCTCTCTCTCTCTATATATATATATATTGTAGACATCTGAATCGGCACTAAATTTTTTTTTTAATTTTGGCAGGCATATCGATCCTTTTATTATTATTTTTATTATTTTTTAATTGTTATTTTTCATTTTTTTTTCTTTTTTATATGTCTTTGGCATTTGTGTGGCTTTTCCTGCTCTTTTTCATTTTCTCCCGTTGACCGGGAGGGAGTTGTGTGCCGCTGGCTGTGGGATGTCCCACGTGACATGAAATCTCCTTTTTTTTCTTTGCAACGCAGTGATGTTGACAGTCTTCCATGCAGCCTGAGCGCCTCTGTGCATCCTCCCCGCAGTCCCTCTCGCGCGGGTGCTGTCGGTCTGTTGAGGTGTCCGCAGCGGTCGCACACCACATTTTGTGCGAAGTCCGCCGTGAATGTCTGCTGGAGGGCGTGGCGCCCCCCCCCCCCCCCCCTCCTCCTCCTCCCTTCCGTTTGGGGGAAAAAAAACCCACTGACTCTCTCGAGGTGAAGTGTGGGGGCAAATAAGTTTCCGCGGATGGCCGAATTCACCGGATGGCAATGGACAAATTTTTTTCTGGCAACTCGTACGAAGTGAGGCGCCTGATCCCCAACGATGTTTGGGAAAATGAACGGGAAACGATTCACACTGTGCTGGTTATTGTGCATCCGGAAGGGCATTCCGATGTGCGGATGAGGGCCGTGTGCATCCTGGCGCTGAGGGGAGATCAGGGGAAAAGACACTGGAGATGAAGGCTCAATACATTCCTTTCTCGCGGAATACGGAATAACCTTATATGCATTTGTACATGATCGGGTAGCTGGATCTTCATGAACAATTGTGGCTTATGTGCAATGGCGCCGGCCGTTTATTTTATTTTTATTTTATTTTATTGCTTTGAAGAAAGAAGTACATGAGCTCTCACCAGGGCCATTTGATTTTTTATCGGTTTTTTCTTTTGCGCCCTGGATTGCACAATTCCGTGTCTATCTATCTACCTATCTATTTATTAATATGATGTATATATACATATTGTGTGTTGGCCTTTTTAAAAATACGATCGCACGGAAGATTTTTTTGTTGTTGGTTTGTGTCACTTTGGTTTTTTCCTTGTGCGCACGGTCTGATGGCTGTGTGTGTGCGTGTGTGTGTGTGGGATGAGAGGGGCCCGGTGTTGCGTGGCAGGAGGGCGTTTTGCCTCATGAATGGGCAAATCGTTTTGTGCTTTTTTTTTGTGTCTGCAGTCACACTTTGCTTGTATTTTGCGAGTAATATGTACAATACACTCACCACGGAAAAAACAAAACAAAAAAGACTACGTCGGTGGCCATGTGACCCACCGTGAATGATGATGGCGTTCATCGTTTTGTGTGTTTCTTCCACACCTCTCTGCATTCTCTCCATACGTTTTTTGTATTCTACCTTTCCACCTCACGCACACAGACACACACGCTAGGAAAGAAAGCAAGCAAGCGCTAATCGCTACTGTGAGATTCGAAGACACTGAAAGGACCAACAGCACACAGACCGCCCATACACACATATTTATATGCTCTCACGTGTTGTTGCTGTAATGGCACCCCGCACACACAACCGTCGCCGCGTGACCGGATCCAGCGGAAGGAGGAGGGAAGGAAGAGTGAGTGAGCCACAGAGACCCAACATGTCCCGGCGTGTGTTTGATTCCACGGTGCTGCTCCTCCTCGTTGTGATGATGTGCTGTGGCACTGGTTTGGCTGCACCCGCTGAGGACAGCAATTCAGGGGATGTGCGGCTGCCGCAACGGGTCGGTCTCTTTTGGCCGAGGAAGACGTCGGTGCTGCCGAAAGAGGGGGCGGGCCCGGGTGATGTGAGGGATGCATTTGTCTCACCCTCTATTGTTATTGCTGGTGGAGTGATGATTGCATTTGCTGGGGGTGAGAAGAGGCATAATGATCCCGCGCATCCATCCGAGCGTTATGGATCTGTTGATATTGTTGCGGGGTACCTCAACGCTACGGAGCCGTGGCCGTCCATGGTCGCCTATATCACCTCCAGTAAGTGGCATGCACAAACCGTTTTTGCCAGAGAAGCCGTAAAGGATAGGTTGAGCGTTGCGATTCTACCCACGTCACTTTCCAATGGCAAGAATCTTTTCCTCCTTGTGGGAAGCTATTATTTTGTTTTTGATTCAACTGCGCAGCATTGGGTTGATGTTGGCTGGGATATTCATTTGGTTAAGGGTGAGGCCACGCCGTCCACGGAAGAAGAGCCGAGTAAAGGGATCCAATGGGGCACACCTCAATCTTTGTTGGGGCTGATCAGCGCACGTACTGAAAAACTTGGCCTGTACAAGTTTTTTGGTGCTGGTGGCTCAGGCATTGTGCTGGAGAGGGGCTGGCTTGTGTTTCCCCTGACGGCGTTCAAAGGCGAAGGAAAAACCGTCTTCATTATTTATTCAAAGAATGACGGCCGCAGCTGGGACGTCGCCACAGGCACGCCTCCTGGGTCCTGCTTTGGCCCTCTTATTGCCGAATGGGAGGAAAAAATTCTCATGATCATTGAATGTGCGGATGGCCGCAAAGTGTTTCAGTCAAGTGACGTGGGGGATACATGGACGGAGGTTCCCGGGGTACTGTCACGCTTGTGGACCAGCGAGCCAAACCCTCGGGGGCTAAATTTTGCGTTGGGAGATCTCATCACTCTGAACTCTGGCATAAGGAGTGTCATGCTGTACACTCAGAAAGGGTTTCCCCAGGGGGAAGACAAAGCCAATGCGCTCTACCTTTGGGTCACGGATAATAACCGCACGTGTCCTGTTGGCCCAATTTCTATGGATGATGATAGGGAGAGGACGGTTGCCAACAGACTGCAGCACTCAAATAATATGCTGTATCTTCTGCATGAGAAAAGAGATCAAATTACTGGTGGCATTTTTCTTTCCCCACTGAAGGAGGAGCTCGACACAATCAATTCCGTTGTGAGTATTTGGGCACTGATGGACACTTTTTTTTCCGGGTTGTCTATACCCACGGATGGGCTGGTGGCATTTTTGTCCGATTCAGCCACTCCTGGTGTGTGGATCGACATGTACCGCTGCGTGAATGCAGAAGTAAAAGGTGCGGAAAAAGTCGACTATGGGTTTAAGTTCCCGGGGTCTGGGTCCAAGGGGATATGGCCCGTGAACAGGAAGAAATTGAACAGGCAGTACACCTTTGTGGATTACAGCTTTTCTTTTGTGGCGACGGTGGTCATCGCGGAGACGCCCGCGGGCAGTATCAAAAGCACTCCTCTGGTGGGTGCAAGCCTGGAGGACCCTGCAGGCACGAATTTCATTGGGCTGTCTTGCACCGCGGAGGGGAAGTGGGAGACGGTGTTCAACGGCGTGAAAATGACATCGAGCAGCGCATGTGAGCCGGGGAAAGAACACCAGGTGGCGATTATGCTGCAGGACAACAGGGGACTTGTGTGTGTGGATGACGAGATTGTGGGGAGCTCAGAGACGATGCCAACAATTGAAAGGCGGGGGACGGAAATATCGGAGTTCTACTTTGGGGGCGGTGATGGAGGCATCAGCGTGACAGTGATGAACGTTTTACTGTACAACCGCCCACTGAGTTTTGCCGAACTGCGAATGATCAGTAAAACCGACACCTCGATGCGTGGGAGTATGCCTTGGCCGCTGCTGCTGTTGCTGGGGCTGTGCGGCATTGTGGCCCTTTACTGAGAAATTGCAGTGAGGGCTTCCTGCCACGAGCGGGAGCACATGCGTCTTTACGCGCACCCTCTCTGGACTACTTGGCGCATCACGTAGATGCTGTTGATTCTATTTCATGCTTCTTTTTATTTTGTGCGAGATGATATTGCTTTTTTTTTTCTTTTTTACATTGAGCGTTTCTTTTTATTTTTTATTTTTGTGCCACCGCCGCGGGTGTCTTCCTTTGTTTATTTATTTATTTAGTGGTGGAGCCTTCTGGGGGGTGGCGGGGTCCATTCACTGTTTCCGTCCACCGACCACCGACGCTCTCGGCATTTCCTGCCACGCCGATGTCGCCGGTCGAAAAATAAAATACAAGAAATTGTCATCAACAGCAAAAGAGACGCACGGAGCGTCCCAATGGAAACATAAATGACGTGTGGACACTCGGGGGGGCTGAAGCGACGGGGACGAATATGTCTTATTTCCAAATCTCCTGCAGGAAACCAAAGAAAAACGAGACAACAACAAAAACAGACATAACGCTTTGAAGCGCCAGAAAAAAGATTTTCTGCGACGACGGTTTCTTTTTTTTTTTGGATTTTTTATGCGCAAGTAAAAGTTCTCACGAAGAACGGTTAAGAAACGAAAGTCTTGTGATTTACCACTGCTAGGGATGTAATTCCATCTTGAGTCTCAACAAGTTTTTCTTTTGTTTTTATTTGTGCATTACTAATGCTTTTTTTTTTTTTTTTGCTTTGCAGGCATACACACACACACGCACAAGCGCAGACGGTGTAAATATTGCGGTGCAGTTGGATGCTCTTATTGTGCTCGATGCTGGCAGCTGCATGTAGCTGCTGCTGCTTCACTCAGCAGACATGAAGAGAAGGAAGGAAGGGAGTGACAATGATTGTGCGCCATGGCTCTCATCCTCTGTGGGAAAGCTGCACGGCGTGCGGCGGTATTTTTTTGAGGCACCTCACCATCACGCACGAGGACATGGCACGGAGTGGAAGACTTCTTTTTGGTTTTGTGTCTGCTGCTGTGGGTGTGGGTGCATCCACGCCGGAATTGTCGGCACGATGACCGTAGCGTGTGGCTGTCACTTTGTTCTCTTGGAGAATATGCTGCCACGCCTTTACGTGTGTGTTGTTTCGGGGACAATGTGCCGGCGGCTGTGCGATTGCCGGATGGAGGGAGAGGAGTGGAGGGAATTGCGTGAGCGCCGCGGTCAGGAGTCGCGCTGGGTGTCTCGCCGCGGAGGGCACTGTCCACCCAGCCCAGCACCGCTTCTGCCGGGCATCCTCTATCACTCCGCAGCATCTTATTCGACGCCACCAGCACGCAGCGAGGCAGCGGATGCCGCCACTGCCACGAGTGCGACCGGAAGGGACACTTCAGCTGTTGTGTTCCGAGGGGGCAATCCGTGTGGCACAGCGGCGTGCCCACAACCTCATCGCGGACTCCGCGCACAAGACACCGGGCACTGGCCGCGGAGTGTTTGCGTCGTGGAGGACACTGCGGCTGCTTCCCTCTTCCTTCAGGTGGACGGACGCCTGTTTTTACTCTTTTTCCCACCCGGGCGGATTGCTGCGCGGTGACACCCCAACGAGGCAGTTGTTTTCACCATGGAGGGGCATCATCTGCAGGGTTACGCATTGGGAATATGAATGGCGAATGCAATAAGAAAGGGAGTGTCATGGTTCTTTTATGCTTTGCGAACTGCAGAGATCTTTCATAAAGCACGTAATTTGCCTTTTGTATTTTTCTTTTATTTTGCCTGGGAGGCTGCCGTGATGCGCCGCTGTTGTGGCGTGTATGATCTGTGATCCCTGCGTGTGGCCGCTGCTTTACCGAATCCCCTTTCCACTCTTGTGTGTTTGTGTGTGTCAGGGACGATATGCGCGCATGTATTACCGTGGAGAGTGTGCGGTGACGGCGGTGCCACACGGATGTTAGACCGCAGCGAGCGGAATGCGTGAGCGAACCCTCCGTGCGCACCACGCTGCTGTTATTGTCGGCTCCCACCAACACTGTGCTTGGTGGATGGCACCTACTTGCCGTCTTTGTGGTGGTCCTCGTGCGTGTGGTGTGCATCACACACCGTGTGGATAGCTCTCTTATTTGCCTTACTGCCTGTCGTGTCTGTGCCTATTGGTTTTTATTCTTCTTTTTGGTTGTTGGTTAGTGTTCGGCTTTAGCTCAATCAAACTAAGAAATCAAGGAGAAACAATGCCTATAAGGCACAGGAGAGTGCAAGGTGCTAAAGAGGAGTGCCAAGCGACTGCTGTGCCGTAGGGAGATTCTTTGAGGGGGGCGAGGCCGGAGTCTGAGGGTAACACAGATCAACTCGCTGCGACTCGCAGAAGAATGGAGGAAGTGCAGCAACCACAGTGGACTCTTGGCTTTCGGGTGGAAGATGTACTGCTGGTTGGGAGGGCACTTATCATCAAAGCGAAGCTGGATTAATTCAAGTTGAAGAGCCTCAGTTTTCTGCAGGCCGTCGGAGGGGAAGAGGATGTGTAGGTGCGAATGCTCGCTCGGGATCCCAATGGCAACTCGGGTTATGGACAGCTGATGAGAGGAATTCTCGACGTTGCGGATTATCGGTTTGCATGGGATACATACCTGCTCTTAACAGATGTAATGAACCTTCATCACGAGGGTGTGGACTCGCTGGAGCAATGGAAGGACCTTGAGGGAGGGGAACGGTCACTTCTGTTGCAGGGGGAAGGCTGAGCGTAGTCCACTCTCAGGTACTGAATGAATAAAAGGCAAGGCGGGAGGCAGAAGAAAAGACGCTAGAGGGATCATACGAGTCTGTGTACAATGCGAGGTGGAGCCATGTGGTGGAAGTTTCTGGCGGCGAGGGGACGGGAGTGGAAGTGAGGGAGGGGGAACCACAGCAGTAATGGGATTACAAGAAAGTTGACGACACCCTCGAAAAGGATGACGGTGTGTGGCAATCCGGTGCACCGCGTCCCAGGCTGATGGTGCTCACCTCGGAGAAGGGATGGCCGTACTCGTGGAGATGGAAGGAGAATAAATCCACTCGTGACTGCCACGTGAACTGTGAGGTGGATCGAGTATGGCAGATTGTTAAGGGCGATCTCACCGAGTGGTTCAGCAGTCACGGTGGGAACGACTTTGAGCCCAAGCAGCGTCTGTTGATTGGGATGCCCGGGATCGGGAAGTCGATGGCTGCCGGTTCGTACCTCCTCTACCAGCTGCTGCACTATGATGCGGAGCAGCTCCCAATGGTTGCGTACGTTATTGGGAGTCAATCATTTCTGTTTGACAAGACCACCAAAACGGTATCAACATACAGGGGTGACCCCAGGATTGATGATGTTGTAAACATTTTTTCTTTGCGTGGGGTTAAGGGGTATTGTATCTACGATGCGACATTGGCATGTCGTCAACCGCCTGCTGGTTTGCCTTGCAGGGGATGGGGCATGATTGTGATGACACCACCAGACAAAAACGACTATGAACGGTGGGCAAAAAAATGGACGCTACTGCAATCGTAACGAATTGTCCCGAAGAAAACGATGTGAGGGCAATGTGCATTTGGATGAAACGCAATTGGCCCCTGCAGGAGCAAGCGGAGTACTGGAGGGAGGTGAGGGGTCGCATGAATAACGTGGGACCAATTCTCCGCTCTATCTTTGGCAAACAGGCATGTGATGACCGCATTAAAGCGTGTCAGCAGGCCGTGGGTGGGTCGACCGCCTCGGAATTAGAGCGCAATTTGGGTATTGGCTGCTGTTACTCGTCCAATGACAGCGACTTGTCTCGAAAGCTTGTGAGGGTTGTCCGAGTACGACGAGGAAACAGCATTGAATCGCCTCTGAATTTGCTGGTATCTTCCCATCTCGAACGTGAAACTTTGTCCAGGTTGGAGAATGAAATGAAGCAGTCCGATTTTATTTTTTTCGTTTTGAGGTTCTGGGATTATGCCCCACCATATCTTATTGGAAAGTGTGCCGCATCCGCATTTTTGAATGAGGATTTCCTGCGTGCGATAAGAATTAAAATCAAGGAACTGAGGCCACCAGGACGACGTGAGCCACACAGGTGCACTGAAAGAGCACTCAGACAAGAGCTTCACCAGAAAAGAGGTTCTACCGCCACCGGAGCGCCTTTCCAATCCGGTTGCTATGGACCACTGGGTGCTGTATGAGCCCAAAGTCCAAAACTTTCCGCTGGTGGACGGCCTTTTCTTTGTGGACTCAAATCCGAAGACGCTGGTTGGTCTGCGGATGACTACGGCGGGTGGGCACCACACCACCGCCAGCACTGCGAGGCAGTTCACCGAGTGCCTGGCGGCATATTTTAATGGTTGGGAGGAGTTATCCCGAGACATGTCGTGGGAGATTATTTACGTGCAGCACGCAGACAGCACGCCGATGTATGACTGGCAGAGATGTGATGTCGTCAATCCCAATAATGTGAGCGATGATGAAAGCCGTGAAATTGCGGCGTTTTGGAAGGAAGAGGTGCGCCAGTACCAAGTGTCAGTATCGTACAGAGGCTTTAGAGGAGACGAAGCACTCCGAAGTGAGGAAGAACCGTCGAAATAGGAAAACAAATTAGGGAGTGAAGGGATTGTTTGGTTTCTGGCAAAAAACATTGGGGCTGTTTTATACATTTGGATGCGTTTGTGTGGATGCGAGGCATACTGGGAGAATTGCTCCGTTATGGAAGAATCGTTGTGTCCGGCGGTATTGCAGCATGGCTGCATTTTCCAATTACATCTATTGTGTTATAGGGCCCATCGTTGACGGAGGCATCTGTAGGGGATGTACGAAGGATGAGTTGTACCGAGGAGATGGTGTACTCCGTGTGGCGGCAGTGGCATTTTGGCGTCGCGTCATGGTGGATGAGAGCCCACCTCTGCGCGTGGCCGGTGTGGTGGGTGCCCGCTCCGCGTGCGTTGTGAGCTGGCTGCGGGGCTGTCCCCATATCCCGTTGTTCGTGGGAATGATCGGGAGGCGGTGGTCGTGGGTCACTCGTCCTTGTCCATGGCGCTTGCCTGTTTGCGTTGTTTGCCTTTTTTTTGGGGTTGGCCGGATTCTCCCATGCGCGGGCTGGCGGCGTTGTTACTGTGTGAGCGTTGGGCTCCGCCGTGACTCGCCTTGTTGTTGCTCTTTTCTGTGGGCCACGGTCCCCCGTGTCATGCCTTTTGGATTGTCTCGTGTCCTGCACTTTGTGTGGGTGATGTGCTCTGCACTCCAGTGGCGTGTCTGATTTATTGCCGCTGTTGTTGTCTTTTCCACCTTGCGCATGCAGACACGCTAGTAAGGAAAACAGGCGCGAATAACCACTGTGCACTCTGAAATGACCAACAGCAAACACACCGCCCAAACACACACATATGCTCTCACGTGTTGCTGCAGTGAAGGCACCCCGCACACACAACCGTCGCCGCGTGACCGGATCCAGCGGAAGGAGGAGGGAAGGAAGAGAGAGTGAGCCGCAGAGACCCAACATGTCCCGGCATGTGTTTACTTCCGCGGTGCTGCTTCTCCTTGTCATAATGATGTGCTGCGGCAGTGGTGCTGTGGGAGCGGGTAGGTGGGAGGGAGTGAGGGTGAGTGGCAGCCGATTCCGTCTCGCAAATTGGGGATTTCCACACGTGTGCTTTTTCTCGACAGCCTCTTGCGGCTCTCAGGCCGTGGAGTGGGAGAGGATATGAAGGGTTTGCTTTGATCAGGAGAAGGATGCGTGGAACAATTCCCTTCTGTGGTCTTTTTGGTGATGTTGGCAGCGGGTACGAGAAACATAAATTTGAGCAATTATAGGATGAAATTTTGATGCTGTTCCGTGTATACTGCTCAATTGCCGTCAATTCACAACAAATCCGCGGTGCGTTTTGGTGCGGTTCCGGCCGATGAGGGGAGGGCGATGGTGTCACTGGCGTGGTTGCTTCTGCGCGTCTTTGTGTCTGTGGTTGCGCTGTGGTGGGGACTGTCTGTGGCCGGATGCGTCTGAGTGCCGCTGTGTTTATTTGCTGCTCCTTTTTATTCCTTTCCTGAAAAAACAGTTAGAGGTAAATTGGCTTGACCAGCACAACTATCGTTTCAAGCTATTAGGGATTAATTGCAGTATTAGGATAAGCAGTATTGGGATAACGATCTGGCGGAATTGTGTCTCTGGATTTCCCATCTGAAGAAAGGGGATTTGTTGGACAGGAGTTACGGTTGACGGGGCGAGTGTGACACACCACGACAGTCCTGTTGATACCTGTTTGTGTCGGTGGATGCGGTCTGCGGTGGGCGCGTGTCCGCGCAGCCGGCACCGTGTGCGGTGCATGGTCATTGCGGCTGTGCGTGTGGCGCTTCTTTTTGTGTTGGCGCTGGCTGCTGCTGCTGCGTGGATGCCTGCGGCGCATGCGGTGGTGTTGCGACTGCGGGGCGGCACGGTGGACAGAGCCATCACGGTTGGCCGCGCCGTGGACACGGTGCTGATGGACGGCGTTTACATCACGAACGGCGTGGCTGTTGTGTTTGACGTGCCGGCGATGCTTCCCGGCGCGCTGCGCATCGAGTTGAGGGATTGTGTGTGCGACGGCGGTGCGCAGATCCACGTGCGGGGCTAC